TATGTAATTGTAACAAAAAGAAATGCAGAACTGAGAAATGTTTGAGAAATTGAGAAAGACCAATTTTCTACATCTAGAAACTGAACATCAGTTTTGAGTCTTTCCTCAGATTTTCAGTTAGGACACTTAAAGCCATAGTGGACCATGTTCTTTTTTCGGGTGGATCATCTAAATAAGTGGTCCTCCTAACTGTCAATCATTCCAGTGATATGTTGACGTAAGGTTGTCCTATGTGCTCGTCCCTATTTTCACTTTCCGGTGGAGAGTCTGACATAGTGGAAAAAGAGCAAATTTTCCTCTGGAAGGTTAGTTTGTGTGAGCGATGCAAGCAGCAATTTTTAAACAGAGCGTGCACGAGGAGAAATGGGCTCGTGCACGCTCTCACACGCGTGTAATAGGAGTTCCCTCTCAGGAGTCGGTACAGGGTTGAGCATGTGCATTTTTATTTTAAGTGGAGAGGGCGGGTCTTTTAAAAAATCCGCAAAAATCCTCCACTATACCTCTAAAAGAGTGCCCATAAAAATGTAATTTGATTGGCTGAAACAAGGGAGCTCTCTGATTGGTTGCCGTCTTTTTAGCAATGGTCAATAAAGGAAGTCGGGAGAGTTTAAAAAAATCCACAAACCGGCAAATTACAAGCAACTAGCAAATCAATATGTTTGTGTCCATCAGAAATATATAGCTGACTTTTTTCATGTGTATTTATGAACCTCTTGTGTGCTTTTACAAGTCCAGAGTTTGCTTTTCTGCAAGCAGTGAATCTTTAATGAGTCCAATAGTATTTATGTCTGCGCTCTGACTGAGGCATATGTTGACCCTCTAAGACACACCCTTCCTCATTTGCATAAGGAGGCAGAAATTCATTCAGAAATGTAAAAACGACGAGCAGAAATAATTAGCATTGAAGAAATAAACAGGGGAAAAAAATTCTAAGTAAGAATAAAACTGTCAAAATATTATAACATGCACATAAATACTTAAAAACGTAATTAATAAATAAAGTTGATGATTATAACGGACAAAAAATAAATAAGGTAATTATTACAAAGGTGAATAACTAAAGAAGCTAATTAAAAGAGATATATACATTTATGTCTCACTATATAATTTATTTTCTACCTATATTTATTTATTTATTATATTTTGGGGCGCAAATTAATCGTATGCTTATTTAATTATTGAGCATTTATTTATTTATTTTTAAACATGGTAGAGCTGGTTCTCCATATGAGCCATCTTACCACATGGATGACTTTGTTTTGCACCTTTTCACTGTATCCATATCATTAGTCTGATATATATTTGTAAAGATTAATCGGATATTTCAGATTTTTAGGCAAGGCAAGTTTATTTATTATTGTTATTATTGCACAATTAAATATAAAGGCAATTCATAGTGCTTTACTTTGAATTCATTATCTATAGCTTTATATTTACCAATGTTTGCATAATTTGTTTTTTTTTTTATTTTCTTTTGTTCTAAAACATGTTCTTACATAAAATCCCAATAAAGTATATAGAATTTTCTGGCTGTAAAATTACAAAATAAAAAAAATAAAAAAAACTTTATAAAAATGTTTTTTTATGTCTTTAAAACTTGGGTAATTTCTGTTTTTGCAGAAATGAGTCAAATTAAGCAACCTCTTCTCTTTGTCTCCATCAGGGCTAAACACAACCATTCACACATTCATGATTAAAGAGAACAGGCAGGTGATTGACAAGAGATACTGCCTGAGGGATGAGTGTGGGTAGGTAGATCAGCATCATAGATCTGTTTCTAGAAAAGTATCAGTCTCTGCATTGGGCTTCAAACATTAGCCTGAATTTGCAGCTGGTTCTAATAACATTTATGTTTTTTCCCTTCAGGCCAGAGCGATATGTTTTCAGAGTTCCCATCAGCCCGTTTGTTCCTGTTAACATGAGGATCACTCTGCTTATGAAGTAAGAACTCACTGAACAGAAAAAGAGAAAAAACAAGCTTGTTCACATAAAAACTAATTTAGATAAATACTTTGCCTTTAAATTAAAGGATACATTGTTAACATATTTGATTAAGGAGTTTCAAATTCTTTTTAAATAAACTATTTAAATATGATGCATTCCAACATAATCTTTTCCTCTTGGATATTTTTATTTCACTTCATGAATATAATTGGAATCANTTGCTGGTAGATTGAGCGCAGGTTTGTACCTGTTCAGAGATTTGAGCAGAGTGGCAGAGGGGGGAAACCTGGAGGGTCCAGAGGCTGACGGCAGGCTGAAGGCTGACAGGTTTGATTCTCCAGGGTTCCTCCGTGATCAGACAGACTGGTTTCAAACAGAGAAACTCTTCCAGAGCTTCTGATCTCCAGGGTCCTTCAGTAATCAGGCAGACTGGTTTCAGACAGAGAAACTCTTCCTGAGTTTCTGATTTCAGACAGGTTCTTCCTAGAAGCAGAGAGGACAAGAACAGGTTAGGTTCAGGTTATCAGGGAGTCTAGATTCAGGCAGGCAGGTTGGCCCAGGCTTGCTAACCATAACTGGCAAAACACTCTGGCGCCGGAGTGTTGTCCACAGCCCACTTAAGTACTCGTCCCCTGATGAGCAGATGAGAAGCAGCTGGTGAAGTCAGCTCCAGCTTCAGGAGATCCAGTACGCCCTCTGGTGGAGGAAGGTAGACAGCACCCCAGATCCCAACAGCACCACAAACCATCAGGAAGGGATCCTCGGCGCCCTCTGGTGGGCAAGCCTCTGGATCCCAACAGTAACGTCTTCAAACTTGAAAACAAAGTCCAGTAGATTGTTTTTTTCAGCTTTTTTAGAATTAAGAAGTGTAATGTACTGATTTATCTTCCATATAGATTTAGTCAAACATCCGCCGCAATTATCAAATCTCAGTTGATTTACCAGAAAACATAAAACTGTTGCAACCAACTATTCAAATATGCTTATTAGTTAATAGGAAACGTTACTTGCTCTAAAGAAAAGTAAAACGTGAAGCTCACAATAAGTGATTTATGCTTTAATATTGCTTTTTAATGCTTTTTCAGTTCTACTGAGTTGTTGGTGGTTCATCTATGTGCTGTAGATGAGTCCACCACCTGTTCTGCTCTGCTGAGCACAGACATGGCCAGTGAAAGCAGGTACCCGTCAAATACACAGGTAAATATCAGCAAAGTTTTTTTTTTTTAACTTCACGTTTTTCTTAATTCATGTTTAACATTGCACCAAAAGTGCAGAAGCTTTTTTATTTGTTTATGTTTAAATGGCTGATAACAATAAAACTGTACAAATTTTGCTTTGCCCTCTTTAGAAAGTCAAACAACTTAAAAAAAAATAAAAATACTTGCATATTTGATCAAAGTTTTTGTCTAATTAGGTTACATTAAACCATGCATGTTTTTAAGAAGAATTAA